TACTAGTACTACTAGGAACAAATATTTCTGGATCAATGACTATATGCTGACTGTTGTGCTAAGTGATTTACATACATTATCTCATCCGCCCATACAACAACCCTATGGAGGGGTGTTCTGTTTTGCTGATGAGGAAACTGATACTTAAAGAGGCTAAGTAACTTGCCTAAGGTCACACAGGTAGCAAGTGGAAGAGGTAGAATTCAAATCCAGATATGCCTGACTCCAGACACTGTGCCTTTTTTTTTTTTTTTTTTCTGACAGAGTCTCGCTCTGTCGCCCAAGCTGGAGTGCAGTGGCGCAATCTCCACTCACTGCAAGCACCGCCTCCCGGGTTCACGCCATTCTCCTGCCTCAGCCTCCTGAGTAGCTGGGACTACAGGCGCGTGTCACTACACCGGGCTAATGTTTTCGTATTTTTAGTAGAGACAGGGTTTCACCACATTGGCCAGGCTGGTCTCAAACTCCTGACCTCGTGATCCACCTGCCTCTGCCTCCCAAAGTGCTGGGATTACAGGCATGAGCCACCGCGCCTGGCTGAGACTGTGCTCTTAACTAGACATGCTCAAAGAGCTCAAGTGTGTTATTAGAATTCCTAGTTTTTTACTTTCTTTACCATTTTCTCCCCTTGATTCCTTGACATAATGAGAAAAGTGCTGTGTATTTTTTTCGATTTCAGCATAACCAGTTCCAGTGTTTTCTCTTTCTTTTATCGATGCTGAATATTGAAAAAGGGCATGCTGCCTGTTTCAATTTAGCGTGACTCCATGCTCGTGGGTTTCCTCTTTCAGGCAAGGGTATTTATTTCCTGAATCTTAAGTCTTCTTTTCTTTCTTTCTTTCTTTCTTTTTTTTTTTGAGACACAGTTTTGCTCTTGTCACCCAGGCTGGAGTGCAACGGCACGATCTCGGCTCACTGCAACCTCTGCTTCCTGAGTTCAAACGATTCAACTGTCTCAGCCTCCCGAGTAGCTGGGATTACAGGCATGCACCACCACGCCCAGCTAATTTTTGTATTATTAATAGAGACGGGGTTTCATCATGTTGGCCAGGCTGGTGTTGAACTCCTGACCTCAGGTGATCCACCTGCCTCGGCCTCCCAAAGTGCTGAAATTATAGGCGTGGGTCACCGCACTTGGCCTTAAGTCTTATTTTTTTTTCTTCCTCTCTTTTCTTTTCTTTTTCTTTTCTTTCTTTTTTTTTTTTTGAGATGATATCCCACTCTGTCACCCAGGCCGGAGTGCAGTGGCACGATCTCGGCTCACTACAAGCTCTGCCTTCCGGGTTCACACCGTTCTCCTGCCTTAGCCTCCTGAGTAGCTGGGACTACAGGTGCCTGCCACCATGCCCGCCTAATTTTTTGTTTTTTGTATTTTTAGTAGAGACAGGGTTTCACCATGTTAACCAGGATGGCCTCGATCTCCTGACCTCATGATTCCCCGCCTCGGCCTCCCAAAGTGCCGGGATTACAGGCATGAGCCACCATGCCTGGCCTTAAGTGTTATTTTCTAAGTCGTAGCTCTTCACTACATCAAAGGCAGTATACTGTGGTAAGTAAATACTCACGGTTTTCAAAGTGGACTCACCCAGGTTCAAGTTCTGGCTCAGCCATTCAATAGCTCTGTGACCTTGAGTAAGTTAATCTCTACAAACTGCAAAGTGGGGATAATAGTACCTACCTCTAGGACCGTTCATTTAATCAACTGACATTTATTGAGCACTGTGTCAGGCCCTGGAGACACAGAGTTGGAAGATTTAAATGAAATAATACAGGTGTTGGGCTTGGCACAGGGCCTAGTAGACGATAAAGACCCAATAATAAAGAATAGTCATGAATTATGCAAAAAAAAGACTATTTCTCTCTTAGCGCTCCATGGGCAGGATACAGGGCAGTGAGGTGTGTTCTGAATCGGGGGACTCTGGAAATGATCTGGTACCACTGAGCACCTCCTTGTCCTGGCTGAGGCTAGCTCTAAATTTGAAATCATAGTCAAAGCCAACAGCTAAGAAATAGTCATTTTTTGATACAGTTCATGACTATTTTTTTTTTTCTTCTTTTTTGAGACGGAGTCTCGTTCTGTCACCCAGGCTGGAGTGCAGTGGCACGATCTCAGCTCACTGCAAACTCTGCCTCCCGGGTTTACGTCATTCTGCCTCAGCCTCCCGAGTAGCTCGGACTACAGGCACCTGCCACTACACCCGGCTATTTTTTTTTTTTTTTTTTGTATTTTTAATAGAGACAGGGTTTCACTGTGTTAGCCAGGATAGTCTCAGTCTTCTGACCTCGCGATCTGCGCGCCTCAGCATCCCGAAGTGCTGGGATTACAGGCGTGAGCCAATGTGCCCGGCCTACTCTTCTTTATTATTGGGTGTTTACCATCTACTAGGTCCCATGCCAAGCCCAGTGCCTCTGTTATTTCATTTAAACCTTACAACTCCGTGTCTCCAGGACCTGGCACAGTGCTCAGTAATGGTCAATAGATTAAATGAATGGTCCTGGAGGTAGGTCCTATCCTCGTTTTATACTTTATGGAGGTTAAATAACTTATGCAAGATCACAGAGCTATTGAATGGCTACCACACACTTTACCTATATTAACTCTCATACTTCTCACAGCCTTCTCCCAAAGTAGGCTTTATTACACCATTTTACAGAGGAGGAAACAGAGTCCAAGAGAGGTTAAGAAACTTGCCTGAGATGCCACAGCTAATTAGTGGCAGCGCTGGGATCAGAACCAGACCAGCTAGTCTGATTCCAAAGCCTGTGATCCTACGGTCTGTCTAGACCACCAGCACTGGGTTTGTCTGTGATTTCTCTATTTTCTGTCTATGCAGCCAGCCACGAGCAGCTCCAGGAAGAGGCACATTCAGGCAGGGGATAGTTAGAGAGGCCATGTTGTCATTGTTTTGGGGAGAGTAATTTGGAGCCCTCAGGTTCCCTGGTTCTTCTCAGGAATGTTCCACAATCCCCACCCACTTGATCCTTTTCCTGCTGCGTCTCTCTGACATCACCCAAGACCAAACCAGCTCATCCTGAAAAGCTTGGGGAGCCCAGGAGTGGAGGAGCCAGCTGGGGCAGCCTGCGTGGGAGGCAGGGCTAGGGATCCTACTGCCAGAGCCCAGGGCTGTCATTTCAACACAGCGCTGGCTCCTCTGCAAAGTCTTGCCTCCTGGTTTGGCTGCTTTAAACCCAGCCCACCTGCCTTGCCCCCAGCCTACTCACTGCCTGAGGTTTGCTATAACACCCCATGCAGGAGCCAACCTCACTTGTGCTTGGAAGGCCCCTGTGCTTGGTTTAATGCCCTGACATCTCCATCTTGAAATTCTTGGCCGGGCACGGTGGCTCACACCTGTAATCCCTGCACTTTGGGAGGCCGAGGAGGGCGGATCACGTGAGGTCATGAGTTTGAGACCAGCCTGGCCAACATGGTAAAACCCCATCTCTACTAAAAATACAAAAATTAGCCGGGTGTGGTGGCGTGCGCCTGTAATCCCAGCCATCCAGGAGGCCGAGGCAGGAGAATCACCGGAACCTGGGGGGCAGAGGCTGCAGTGAGCCAAGATCGTGCCACTGCACTCCAGCCCGGGTGACAGAGCAAGACTCTTGTCTCAAAAAAAAAAAAAAAAAAGAAAGACATTCTTAATCCTTTTGAAAAGAGGCTCTGCATTTTCATTTTGCACTGGGGCCTGCAAATTATGTAGCCAGTCCTGCTCAGACCCAGCAAAGGCATCAGAACACCAGAAGCCTGCCCAGCAGAGAATCTCCAGGAGACTGCTGGGCAACAGACAACAAGCCAGGGGTCCTAATTTCAGGGTTCACATTCATGACGCCAAAGAACTCTGTGGACTGTAGGAAGCCAAGAGAATGAATTCACACATTTCCGGGATAATGTAAATTTATCGGCTTAAAACAGTTTTTTCAGTTACTCTCATAAACAAACATAACAGCCATTGAACGTGCTGTTGCTTACTAGTATTACAGAAACATAAGAGATAAGGATCAGTTTGATTTAAGCAGAAAAGTGAACCTGGTCTCCATGTTTCTTAAAATCTTTTGCACCTTCTTGCCACAAGCCTGAAGTTGAATCACGATTAAATCCTTCCTTGAGATCCTGCCAGTAAACCAGACACCTGCTCAGATGTAAGTGTTGTTTCTATCTTCTCTAGGAACCTTCTGCCTCAGGTAGCAGCCCTGCCCCTGTGCCCCGCCCCGCATCACTCCCCATTTCCAGCCTTTGCTTTCCTCCTGGTCCTTTCCTCTTTGTTTTCCAACAGACTGAGCATCGCAGTCCCAATGCTCAAGCAATGCTATCCACATTGTCTCCTTCCTTCCTCTCATGGCCAATCTCAGATGCTGCCAAGTTCTCACCTTTGGTTCCTTCCCCCCTCACCCTCCTGCTCTCTGGCTTTCATCCTCAGTATTAGAACTGCCAGATATCGCACCTGTAATTCCAGCACTTTGGGAGGCCAAGGTGGGCGGATCACAAGGTCAAGAGATCAAGACCATCCTGGCCAACATGGTGAAACCCCATCTCTACTAAAAATACAAAAATTATCTGGGCATGGTGGTGTGCGCCTGTAGTCCGAGCTACTCGGGAGGCTGAGGCAGGAGAATCACTTGAACCTGGGAAGCAGAGGTTGCAATGAACCGAGATCACGCCACTGCACTTCAGCCTGGGTGACAGAGCGAGATTACGTCTCAAAAAACAAAACAAAACAAAACAAAAAAGAACTGCCAAATAAAGATCACTCTTCATGGTTCAGAGTTTCATCAACCTGATTCCCTAGAAATAGGGCCGCTTCATGACTTCTGGAGGCCTGAGGCACTTTTGTCTTTGGGGGCCTTTCTTCTGTTAAAAAAATATTGAAAATTATATTTTATAACTCTTTTGGTATAAAGATAAGTATGATCAAATCTAAATTGTATTCATTTTTAAAAATTCTTGTTTTTAAATATATTAAAACATTTTCATGTGTGTGTTTTTTTTTTTTTTTGGACAGGGTCTTGCTCTGTTGCTCAGGCTGAGATCACAGCTCACTGCAGCCTCGACCCTCTGGGCTCAAGCAATCCTCTCACCTTGGCCTCCCAAAGTGCGTGTGCCACCCTGCCCGGCCTTTTGTGGGCTTTTTGTGTAGCTCTAGGCACTGTGCCTATTGTACCTAACGGAAGCTAATGAAGAAGTCAGGACTGCTTTGAAGGGCTTGGTAAATGTGAGTAAAGCCTTCATAAAAGCTTTTCTCTCTGGGAAACCATACTGGCTTTTTTTTTTTTTTTTTAAGTTGTATTTCCGGGCGCGGTGGCTCATACCTGTAATCCCAGCACTTTGGGAGGCTGAGGCCAACGGATCGCCTGTGGTCAGGAGTTCAAGACCAGCCTGGCCAAAATGGTGAAACCCCATCTTTATTAAAAATACTAAAATTAGCCAGGCTTGGTGGCAGATGCCTGTAATCCCAGCTACTCAGTGGGCTGAGGCAGGAGAATCCCTTGAACCTGGGAGACGGAGGTTGTAGTGAGCCGAGATTGCACCACTGCACTCCAGCCTAGGTGACAGAGTAACATTCTGTCTCAAAAATAAATAAATAAATAAATAAATAAAATTGTATTCCTTTTGTTGGAAAAACAGTATAATTACAAAGAAAATTTTAATGAAGCCCAGGCGCAGTGGCTCACGCCTATAATCCCAACACTTTGGGAAGCCGAGGCAGGCAGATCATGAGGTCAGGAGTTAGAGACTATCCTGGCTAACACAGTGAAATCCTGTCTCTACTAAAAATACAAAAAAATTAGCTGGGCGTGGTGGCAGGCGCCTGTAGTCCCAGCTACTCAGGAGGCTGAGGCAGCAGAATGACGTGAACCCGGGAGGCAGAGCTTGCAGTGAGCCGATATCACACCACTGCACTCCAGCCTGGGCAACAGAGCGAGTCTGTCAAAAAAAAAAAAAAAAAAGAAAAGAAAAAATTTTAAAAGAACCTCTCATAATCTCATATCCTAACACAACTTTTCATTTTCATTTTTGTGATTCACTTCCTTGTCCAGATGCAAAGCAATTTCCCTCTTCCAGATGCAAAGCTATTTTACACAAAAGTGGCTGTTGTGTTTGGGCAGTTTTGTATTCTGTGTTTTCTATTTAACATAATTTTATTGAATACATTTTCCATTTTCCATGGGTTTTTTTTTTTTTTTTTTTTTTTTTTTTTTTTTTCATAGTTTTACTCTGTTGCCCAGGCTGGAGTGCAGTGGCACAATCTCAGCCCACCACAACCTCTACCTCCTGGCTTCGAGTGATTCTCCTGCCTCAGCCTCCCGAGTAGCTGGGACTACAGGCGTGTGCCACCATGCCCGACTGATTTTCGTGTTTTCAGTAGAGACGGGGTTTCACTATGTTGCCCAGATTGGTCTCGAACTTCTGACCTCATGATCTGCCTGCCTCGTCCTCCCGAAGTGCTGGGGTTACAGGCGTGAACCACCGCACCTGGCCATTTTCCATTTTTCCACAATAGTCTTCATAACTACCACGTTGACTTGTGATCGATTTACTCCCCCTCTGCTGGTTTCTCAGATCTTTTCTGACTCTGCTTACCTCTGTTCCATTGCTTCCTTTTCTTCCTTGCATACATTTAGTCTGGGCCACCTGATCTTTCTATAAATTCTCCCCACAGGTAGTCTGATGGATGACTTCAACTTCCAGCTTTATAGCCTGAGGAAAATGGGCTTTGCAGACCGTTCTGCCGAATGGCACTTCGTGTTCAGTGATCTACGTATGTGGCCTGCACATGGCCTTTCACCGTGCGTCACATGCATTTGACAGGCAGGCAGGCCACGGGGCAGATCTTGTTAAATTCTACGTTCTAGCAATGGCATCAGATGGTCAGTCTGAAGATACCTTAGGCATGATCCAGTTCAGCTTCCTTATTTACAGATAAGATAAAGATCTTTACAGGAAACTGAGGTTCAAGGAGGTTAACAGACTTGATCAGGGTCATAGATCCTGTGAGTAAGAAGTGGAAACTTGGTTCCTTAACTCCCAAAACTTTATGCTCTTTCCTCACTAGCATGCTCTATGAATTTGATAAAGAACTGTAGTTTATATTGCTGTACCATTAGAATGTACACTTCTATTACAGAATTATATGTATATATTCTTTGTATGTTTATATAAAATTAATAAAAATAAAATATAGGAAATATATTTTATATATTTATATAAAACATTTTATAAAATATATTGTTTTATATATAGTATATAAAATATGTTTATTAAATATGTAATATTTTATGTATTTATGTAGGTATATAAAATATATAATATAAAATATATGAGATATATATATTTTTTGAGAGACAAGGTCTCATTCTATTGCTCGTGTTAGAGTGCAGTGGCATGATCATAGCTCAGTGTAATCTCAAACTCCTGGGCTCAAGCAATTCTCCCCCCTCAGCTTCCTGAGTAGTTGGGATTACAGGGATGCGCCACCATGCCTAGCTAATTTTTAAAAAAGCTTTCATAGAGATGAGCTCTCACTTTGTTGCCCAGGCTGGTCTCAAACTCCTGGCCTCAAGTGATCCTCCCACCTTGGCCTCCCAAATTGCTGGGATTACAGGTAAGAGCCTGTAAGATGGCATCTGGTCATATTACAGAATTATATTTGTAATTATTTTGTTCCCTATTTTATTTTTATGTTACTGTAATGGGAAAAAGAAGAGCTTGACAGTACAATTTTTAGTAAAGTACATACTTCAAAGTCATCTGGCCCATTACAGGAGAGGTGCTTAACTGACTCATGTTCACACGATGGTTAACTTCACTTTTTTTTTTTCTTCTTTTCTTTTTTTTGAGACGGAGTCTCACTGTCACCCAGGCTGGAGTGCAGTGGCGTGATCTTGCCTCACTGCAACCTCTGCCTCCCAGCTTCAAGTGATTCTCCTGCCTCAGCCACCTGAGCAGCTGGGATTACAGGTCACCTGTTTTTTTAATGGTCATTTTGTCTCTAGTCAGTTGACTCATTTATTACTAAGGTGTCCCAACAGTCAAATTGATTGATCTTACCTGTTCAGAGACAAGGAGCAGACCAGTCTTTGTCCCAAAATAACCAGGCCAACACTGGTACTAGCAACCTATAGACAATAAAAGCATTTATTATTAAGATGAGAGAGTGTCAATTTTGGCCACCAATATAATTTCCAACAGTTGAAACATTATAAGCCCAACTTTCCCTCTTAGTCTAAAGACATTGGAAATCTAAAAGACATTGGGAATAAATACCTCTGAAAATCCTGTCTTGTAAGTTACAGAAGCTACCTGCAAAGACTTTTTGTTTGATGATCTCCTTTGATTTATTTTTTTTCTCCTAATCTCTCTTCTCTATGTACGTGTGTGTGTGTGTGTGTGCGCCTATGTGCGTATGACATTTTTGTTAGGTTTATTATATCCTTCTATCAGATTGCATTTGGCCTTCATTTGCTCAAGTAAAAATGAATTCTACCTTGATTGACTTATTTAGATTAAAAAAAAAAAAGAATTCCAGCTCTCCATGTAACTGAGGTAGGTGGTGGAAAGAGTGTGCATGAAGTAGAGACTGGAGAGAGATTTTACAATGTATGAGAGTGTGAGTGCTGGCCTCCCATCCTGCCACACATACCCTTCCCTCAACTCCAACCTCACTGAGACAGGGTCTTACCCTGTTGCCCAGACTGGAGTGCAGTGGTGCAATCATAGCTCACTGTAGCCTCAAACTCCTGGGTTCAGAGCCACACTTCCACCTCAGCCTCCTGAGTAACTAGGACGACAGGTGCACGACGCCACCACACCTGGCTAAACAATTTTTTTTTTGTAGAGATGAGGTCTTGCTATGTTGCCCGGGCTGGTCTCTAACTCCTGGCCTCAAGCAATCTTCCTGCTTTGGCCTCCCAAGGCACTGGGATTATAGGCATGAGCCATCGCGTCCAGCCTCCATCCTCACTCTTAATCAATGGAGCATCCCCACCCTCTTCGAACATTTCAAAGCTGCTGGCCAACAGTCCACAGCAGGAGCAGGACTGGCATCTACAGGCTGCTCCACTGTCTCCCCAGACTTACGAAGTCCATGGAAACGATGGTTTCAACTGTGGAGTTCTTGGGTTGGGTGAGCATCATGATGGAGGCAGGGATGTCCAGGGTGAAGTTGCCTGGTTGTAGATTGATCATGGGAGGCTCTGTGGCCATTATCCTCACCATGAAGGGCTGGGACAAGATGTAGATCTCTGCAATCTGCCCACATTCCAATAAAGAAATAAAGACTGTGAGACGTGAGTTGATGAAGGGAAATCACAAGGTTAGGACGGCCTGTGGTGACTAAAACTTACATCGTGCAGTTATCATAGAAAAACAGCTCTTTAATAATCATAATCGCACACAAAAATCAAACGATGATAACAGTTAGCAGTTACTGAACATAATACTTGATACTACCCACTGTGCAGGGGCTTTATGTATTATCACATTGAATCTTCAGAAAATCCCTGTGAGGCAGATTCTATCAGCATCCCTGTTTCATAGTGGAGAATGTGAGTCTTACAGATGTTAAATGATGTTCTCAAGGTTCTAGGGGAATAAGTGGTAGAATTGGGATTCAAATCTAGGTCTGGGCTGGGCACAGTGGCTCACATCTGTAATCCTAGCACTTTGGGAGGCTGACATGGGTGGATCATTTGAGCCCTGGAGTTTGAGACCAGCCAGGGCAACATGGAGAAATCATGCCTCTACAAAAAACAGAAAAAATAGCTGAGCGTAATGGCTTGTGCCTGTAGTCCCAGCTACTCAGGAGGCTGAGGCGGGAGGATCACTTGAACCGGGGAGGCGGATATTGCAGTGAACCAAGATCGTGCCACTGCACTCCAGCCTGGATGACAGAGCTAGACCCTGTCTCAAAAAACAAGCAAACAAAAACAAATCCAGGTCTATCTGACTCAAGATCCTTGCTCCAAAACCAGGATGCTACATGAACATCTCTTTGCCCTCAAGGGCAATTCCTAGCCCGTAGGTTCATTATGTTCAATACTTAGTGTGCTACGAAGGCACAATATTAACGGTTGCTTTACTACAGTTACAAGTGTTGGCACTAATCCTTCATTTAAGAATTGAATCCTTCATTTACACTAATAAATCCTTTATTTAAACTAATTATTTCAAGTGTGGTGGAATATTGTGGAAGACACAGGTGATTTATTTTGTGAACTTACAATTATACTCTAACTTGTATGTTAATTGCACTTTAAACTGTACTGTTCAGTAAATATTCGTGGATAGTTGATTAAGAGAAAAAACTCCCAATAATAGACAGAGGGACTTATCCAAAAAGGAATACATAGAACCCACAAGTCTTCCAGAAGTAATTGCAATGGAGCCAAATACACTATCAAGACTCAAACCCTGAGCACTTACCCGGGAGAGCACATTGCCAAGGCCTTGAGAGTTTTGAACAAAATGGTTGGAAATCTGGAAAATAAAGTCCATTATGTCACTGTTAGGATTTTACCTGGATTGTCTTTTCAGGGAAAATGTAGTGTTCCCTACAATTTTATGAATTGTGAAGCTGTTACACCATAAAATATTCAGTGTTTAAAGGGGACCTATCATTTTATAGCCCAATCATAGGGAATCCGAAGTTCAGAGAAGTAAAGTGACTTGCCCAAGGTCACACAGGAAGTTATATTTCTTTTAACTCTGGGAACAATACAGTCTATTGTTAATAACTGTAGAATATTTACACATGGATTGTACATATATAGCATGAAAATTTTTATTTTTATATATATTACAATCTATGTGTACATATTCTTTATATATATTACATTCTATCTGTGTGTACATATTCTTTATATATATTACAATCTATGTGTACATATTCTTTATTTATATATATATTACAATCTATGTGTACATATTCTACCGTCATTAACAATAAGCCTTGTGTTACTGTCCTCACTTTTAGGGATTACTGAGATACCAGATGCTTAAGGAGTTTACATTCACAGATGAATGATTTTCAAGTCTGCAGCTAGAGGTGTCTAATTCTCAGCATCGTAAGGTAGCTGCCATACTTACCATTCGGAACATAAGCTTTATATCTACTTGTATAATTAAGACATGTAGAATGAGAAGATTCAAAAAGAGATGCTCAATAAAAGTTTTTGGTTGGCTGGCTAGAGACAGTGCTGTCATTATAAAACGGAGGTGCATGACAGAGAATCAATGAATATCTGTACTATTACTAATCATTGTAGATAAACCAGCTGTAATTACAACCAGGGTAACTATGTTAGCATAATACAGGAAATAATGATGATGATGATGATGAGCAACAGTTATATCACACTTATTCTGTGTTGGGGATTGATCTGAATGCTTGACACATATTTAAATCTTTTAATGCCCATATCAACTCTGTGAGTATGGAACTATTATTATCTGCCTTTTCCAGATGAAGACATTCTGGCACATAGAAGTTATATAAATTGAAATGACCTCTAAGGTCACAGGCAATACATGATGGAAAGGGGTCTTGGTATTATCTGAGATGAATCTAGTACAGTGGTGAGTGGTGAGGTATCATGAAAAAACAAATGTAGCAGAACTGGGAACTCGACAGCTCCCCAGCTAATACAGGTCGAACATCCCTAATCTGAATATCTGAAATTCAAAGTGCCCCAAAATCCAACTATTAAATGCCAACATGATACACAAAGGAAATGCTTATTGGAGCATTTTAGATTTTGGATTTTCAGATTAGGGCTGCTCGGCCGGTAAGTATATATAATGCAAATATCGCAAAATCTGACAAAATCTGAAATCCAGAACACTTCTGGTCCCAAGCATTTTGGATAAGGGATGCTCAACCCATAACCGTGTTCATTCCACAATTCCTTCATTCCTCCACTGTCTTACTGAGAGTGATAACCCAGGAATCGAAATTATGGCGTAAAAGTCCCATAACAGGATACTTATAAAAAGGCTGAATGGTGGTGACCATTGACATCCTCAGTTAACTCTCCTCACCTCTTTGGTGGAGAGAGTGACATTGAAAGCCCCAGCTGTGAAATAAGCAAAGGATGCAGATTTAAAGAAATACTCGGCGATTCCAATGTAGAGCATGGAGTTGCTGCGTTCTGGG